TTCTTTTAAATTTTTAAATTCAATTAAAATATAACTTTTAAATTAGATTAATTTTTTCTTGAAAATAATTTTACTAATTAATTCTTTCTTTAGTCTTAATTTGTTTGTTTTATTTTCTTCATAATAAAAAATACTAAAAAGATAAAAAATATACATTCAATTTAATTTCTTTAAATCAATTATTTTATTTTCTTTAATAGAATAGATTTTTAATTCTCTTTCCAAACTTTCCAAACAAAGAACAAGAATTTTATTTCTATACTTGTCAATCAATTTTATTTCATAGACCGTTATAGCTTTAATTAATCGCTCAAATTCAATTTGGTTGTATTGATTGCTATTTTGGACTTTTAATCGCTTTCGATTCATCCCTATTTGTAAATTTGTACCCCCATTCCCGAAAACTCTGTAATAGCGTAGAATTTCAATTTCCGCAACTTATTGTTTTCTTTATACTGTATAGTAATTAGACGTGTATAGTAAGATTCCAAATCAATCGCTAGATAACCTAATTTCAAAGATAAAATTAACTTGAATCAAAAACACTTTTTACACACGCACCTCTCGGGTAACCTCGCTTGTTGCCTAAAAAACACAGTCATGTCCCTCGAATATGGGACGCTTTAGCAATGACCCTTCGATTAAAAAAATCGTAGTCCCTCGATGACCCTCGACGTTGCCTCAGTAAAACGATCTAGTCCCTTACGAAAAATTGCTAAAGCGTCTCATAAGTTGCTTTCGATGACTGTAAAATTGACCCGCGCTTGTCCCTTCACATCCAACGATGGGGCTTCTTACCAAATCAATGGTAAGATAGCAACATTTAAAGGAGAAAGAAAATAACATTTAAGACCTTTCGAGTAGGTAGATTCGCTCCTAGTTACTCGCTTGCTCACGACAAAAAACCTTTTTTTACACCGACACTTTCATCTCAAAACATTTTCAAAAAGATAAAACATTTTGTATACGTTCTTATAGAGACGAGAACCATTGCAAAACATCTTTTCAAAACCATTTTCAAAAAACACATTCCATAAACACATCTTTGAACCTTTTTTTCGAAATAAAACTTTGTACGCGTTCTTATAGAAACGAGAACCATTACAAAGAAATTTTTCAAAACACTTTCAAAGCCCACACCACAAGTACACTGTCAAACAAAAGCAAGTGATATAAATGAGTAACTAAGAACCCATGGAAAACCATGGATGAAAAGGGTGCTAATACCTTCCCTTTTCATAATCTACCCCCCGAACCCGAGAAATAATCTTGAAAGGTCTTTCCTGTGCTTTTTTACCTTTCCTTTTGGATAAAAGAAAAGTCGGTGGCGACTCTTGCTATCCGCATAAATGCGATCAAAACGAAAACACCAAGTAATTTCTCCCACTGTATCACAATCATGAACTTTATTAACATCATTGGATCCATGGTGTTGAGTCTAACTCCATAAAAATGGATGAATAATTTTAATAATAGTTTGATTTAAATTTAATTCAAATGTGGTTTATATGATCTCTCCCACCCCTCTTCATCTTGTCCCTTTCACATTGCACTAAGTGTTATTAGATCATGATCTCTATATCATGTCTCAAAACAAATGGTGCATAGATTGCTATTGACCGGCCTCAAAATAAGTTCGACTTCTACATGAGTTCACTTACGATTGCTTAACATAACATAAAATTTTGTCCTTATTCTAATAAATGATTATTCGTGATTCAAACCTATGTTTGCAAGCCCAAGTATGTTAATTTGATCTCTTTGATCCAATAACCTTGAGATTCATTGTGTGGAGGCTTTGGTTCTATCAATCCTCTAATGGATCTACAACACTTTTGGTCAACGCGGATCACTTAAACATCGTTGATCATTAAATGGTACTTTTGAGGATTCCAAATGGATGATATACTTGACAAAAAGCAAATGCAACTTATAGTGTGGAGGATTTGATTCTACCAATCCTCTAATAAGTTCCAAATACAGGTTTCAAGATGGTCATCCAACTAACCACTAATTATTAAATTGTTTTACTTTATGATTTTTTTATTTTTTTAAATATTTTTTATGCTTTATGTACCATTTACTTTAAGCATTACATTTCATGTCATATTTTTTTTCTCACTTGAGCCTTTTATTTTCTCTTATAAGATACCTAATAATCAATATGAACCATAAAAAAACTTTAATGATATTTTGACTGTTTGGTTACTATCCTTGGCATTATGGGGTATTGGACTTAGGATTAGAGACCTTGTCCTATGTTGGAGATCTTATGATCTTAATTGATATTTTGTCTGGAGTTCTTGAGTTTTACCTCAAGACATTGGATTGTTTGTTTGTTTTGTGTGCAGGTTATTGTGATTATATATTTTGTTTGTAGTATATAATTCACCCGTATACAGCTGTTACTCTGCCCAATTTTTTTTATGAATACTTAATACACTTGAAGTTTGGTTCTCTCAAGAGGTATAGTATCTTTGCTTGCTTGGTTTCAATCAAAAGAATGTGAATTCTATCTTGACTCATAATGTCAAGTATTGACTTCTTGTTGGTTAGATGGTTCCTATCCCTAGCTTTTATCTTATGCTTTAGGATAATCTCTTATTCTTCTCCCATCTTCTTTAATTTCAAAAATCTTCTCTCTCCTTTTGAAAATTATTCTTGTTTTTAAACTTGAACCACTTTCATAATAAACTTGGACTTAGGTCCATGCATTTTCAAAATCTTTTCATAAATAAACTTCAATCGACTTAATAATACCTTGACATTTTTTTTGTAGGAAGACTAAAAGTCAATCAATCTCACTTAAAACCATTTTTGCCACTTTGGATTTTACTTTAAACTTTTCTCAAAAGATTAGACTCTTGTCAATCTTTGTAGTGATGCAAACAACTATACTCCTACAATATGTAGTGAAGTAAGGTATTTTCCACTTGGGTGTTGAGCGAGACATTGTAGATTTTAAAATCTAAGTCTTATCATCCACTTTGAGATGATGCAAATTCTCATTCCTCATAATTGTGGGTAGTAAGTATGTTTTCCACACGGACAATGACAATGATGTCTTATCTCATAAAAATTAACCAACACACTTATGTTTTAAATTTTTTAAAGAGGAACTACGTGTACCCTGATCCCCTATTGCACGGAAGGTGGTATATAGGCACTAAAGGTTCGCAACTGCGGCGGGTGCAAAAATCATAAAAGATACTTCTTTTCTCACCTCCACCATCTATTTTTATACAATATTTTTTTATATAGCCAAAATATACAGTTTTACAGAGAGGTTCTTGCGGAGTACCATAGATGTTTATGGTGCTAATACCTTCCCATTTACATAACCAACCCCTTTACCTTGAAATTTCCCTTTTTTTTGAGTTATTCGCTCTTTTCCCATTCCTTTGGAAATAATAAAGCGCGGTGACGAATTTTATTTTTGATCTGTATAAGTCTAGTCAATCCAATGACTTAGTCTTAAACATTTCTACCACTACAATTGAGTTGTTTGTTTATTTTGTGTGCAGGTTATTGTGATTACATACTTTTTCTGTGATCTGAAATTCATCTGTATACAACTGTTACTCTGCCCAATTTTTTGTGAAGATTTAACGCAATTGAAGTTTGGTTCTCTTAAGAGGTTTATTAATTTTTTTTGTTTGGTTTCAAATCTAAAGGATGAGAATTTTATATTGACTCATTGTGTCAAGTGTTAGCTTCTTGTTGGTTAGACGGTTATTTTCTCTAGGTTTTACCTTATGCTTTAGGATAGTCCCTTCATCTCCTCCCATCTTCTTTAATTTCAAAAACCTTCTCTCTCCTTTTGAAAACTCTTCTTGTTTTAAAACTTGAACCACTTTCATAATAAACTTGGACTAATGTCCATGCATTTTCAAAAATCATTTTCTTAATCAAACTTTAATCAACTTAATAATACTTTGACATTTTTGTGAGAAGACTAAAACTCAACCAATCTCATTCAAACTATTTTTGCCATTTTGGCTTTTATCTTTAAAATTTTCTCAAAAGATTAGACTCTTGTCAATCCTTGTAGTGACACAAATTCTATGATATGTACTGAAGTGAGATATTTTTCACTTGGGTGTTAAGTGGGACTTTTGTTGATTTTAAAATCCAAGTCATATCCTCAAATTTGAGATGACACAAATTCTCCCTTCTCATAATCGTGGGTAGTAAGTATGTTCTTTCACTCGGATAAGATGATGATGTCTTGTCTCTTAAAATTAACCAAAACACTTGTGTTTTAAAATTTTTAAAAGGTGAATTACGAGTACCCTGATCCTCTATTACACGAATGTGGTACGTAGGCACTAAATATCCGCAACCGCGACAGATGCAAAAATTATGAAAAATATTTCTTTTCTTATCTCCACCATCTATTTTTATAAAACATTTTATAACCAAAATATACAAATTTTCAAAGAGGTTCCTGCGGAGTACCGTAAATGTTCAAGGTACTAATATTTTCCATTTGCATAATCAACCCCATTACCTATATTCTTATCCCTCTTTTCCCATTATTTTAAAAACAATAAAACGCAGTGGACGATTTTTATTTTTGATCTATGCGAGTTAAGTTAATTCAATGATTTAATCTCAAAATTTCTATCGCCACAATATTAATGTTTAAAAATTATTTAAGATGTTTTAATTTTTTAATTTGGAATGAATGGTTGCAACGTTTCATGTCATCATTGGCTCGAGCATCATTTTAATTTCATTGGATGCAACTTTTTCATTGATTGGTATAAGCAAAAACAGAAAATAGATTATTGAGAGTGTTATATAGTGTGTTAGGGTGTACCATACCATCATCTAATCTAATAGCCATAACCGAACTTAAAAAAAAAAAAAAAGGTCTCGTGAGAGACCTATAGTGGTCGCGCGGTAGCCTGAGCCTAGAAATAAACGTGTAACTAAAAAAGAGGAAAAGTGAAAAACACGGCCGAACTTAAAGTACAAACTAGTTCCTCCCGCCGTCAATGGCAACTGCGGCGGTGCTCCGTCCCTTTCTCCGCCGTTCGCCTCTTTCGTCACTCCTCTATCTACCACGAGTCCTCACTTCTCACTCCCCTTCTCCACTTCCCTCTCCTTTAACACCTCACTCTCCAACCCCCGCCTCTCTCGACGCGTTCCGCACACGCGCTTTCTCAACTCGCTCTTTCAATGACCGCGAATCGGTAACTGAATCGTTCGGTCTCGACTCGCCGGTTCACTCCGAGATTCTGAAAGCAGTCGCAGACAGCGCCGGTGCCAGCGGCGAAGACAACCCCGTTTTCCCCATCCGCGCGGTGATTTCATTGCTTGAATCATACCACGATCTTACTGGATTTCCATGGTAAGCTTCAAGGTTCAATGTCTCGTTTTCTTATTGATAACGCTACTATATTCACTGTTGGATCTCTGATTCTGAATTGAATGTTCGTGTTAATTCAGTATTTGAATCTTCAGGTGGATAACTATAGTTTCGTCTACTTTGGCTCTCAGAACTGTTATGCTTTTTCCGCTTGTTTTTACACTTCACAAGCTTAAAAGGATTGCAGAGTTTGCACCTAAATGTAAGTATAATATACTCATTTCCAATTAGTTCATTGCCTTGATTTGCAAGTTCATGATGTAGCTGATTGTGATTTCTTTTGCAACCTCATTGTTGTGGTTAGAAAATAAGAGTGAATGTTTGCTTATCACATTTCTTACATTACTCTGTACAAGATTTGTTTTCTCTTTTCCATATGTAGTTCATCTACTTGAATTATTATTGATTTTTGTTTGATTCCTTCACTTCTTAAAGTGCCCCCTCCATTCCCACCACCTTTCTCAGGAAAGAGTTATATGCGACAGATGTCATTCTTCGAGGAGAAGAGGAAAGCAATTGGATGCCCTTCATATGCATGGCCACTAGTACCATTTATGGTTCAGGTGATATATCTAAATTCATGAGATACATTTTTTATGAACTTTTGTCTTTTTCTCCTCCTAGTTACCTTTGCTAACAACATTACATCCAAAAGCAACTGGCGATAAAAGATGTATACTGTAGTTGTAATCAGGATGAAAGAAATTCCCTGTCCCAGATCATGCAATTTATAAGTAAAGAGAAAAAGCAAAACCTTGAATGGTGTTAAATTGTAGTACTTGCAAATGGAAATTAAATAATGTCTAAAATCTGAAAAGGAAAAGACAGAAGCCTATAGTCTATAATAGAATAAGTTTTTGAATAACTTAAGTGTTAAATTGAAAGTTTCTTTCTTTGCAACTTCAACAGCGCTTAGCCGCTTACATTGCTGCATTGCCTTCACCTTAAAAAAAGGAGTGATACAATGTTAGACTATCATTTCTAGAGACCATACATTACCTCATTGCATACCTTGACAACTTAAACTGGAAGAATTCTTGCATCATTGAATTCAGGTTTTCCGTCAAGCTTTTGATGGTTTTTTATTCAAAATTTAGCTTGTTCCTTACTCTTCTGAATATCAAGAGGAAGCATCCAGGAGCTGGTTAGAAGCTGAAACCTCTGTCAAAGATGTCCATTTGATCTAAACAGAGCATCCATGGCAGTTAATACAATAACCAAATTGTTTGACCAATAGTTTTTTGTTAGGGTAAAAAAGAAAATTTAGGTGGAGGAGAAAATGCCTCATTCCAAGGTTAGGCTGTACCCCAAACCCCTGGGAGAACTGAGGTCTTACAGATTGCCTACCAGAAATTCAACATCTTTCAGTAGATGCTTTTTTGCAAAAGGAGGATTGGAACTGTCGGAAAGAAAATTCTGATAATGCAGCAGCAGAGCTGCTCAGCTGCCTATAGTCTGCATAACTAAGATGGAAAGGCCTTTAAAACAACTGTAAACTGAGCATCAGAATATTGATTAAAAAAACATGGCCCGAAGATTCAACAAGGAGACAACATTAAAAGTGTGTGCTTTGCACCAGCCAAGTGCACCAAATAATTGCATAAACTACACAGTGACCGAATTCTAGCCAAATTCCTATCAGTAGAAAATTTGTAATTGGGAAATGAATGTTAAAAAATTGTACAATACTTTGATTTTATCATTCTGGAGAAACCAATATATTGATTAACAAAGTTACATGATCATATAGTTGTTTCACAAAATTTTCATCATGGTTTTGAGTTTTTAATTTTACTCCAGATTCCCTGCTTTTTCTTGTGGATGATTAGCATAAGGAGGATGTCACTGGATGGTCACCCTGGTTTTGATTGTGTAAGGCTCTAACTTAAATGCTGTTTTCTTATTGCATCTATGCCAATGCTGGCAAATATCGGCTGTTGCGGCGCCAGGGCAGATTGCGTTGGTGGATTTTTTTAAACTATTGCCATGGCCAGTTTGTGAAGGATGGCGGATCCATGGTGTTTTATGGTGGGTATGACGGCTTAAAATGACGGATTTTTGCCTTTCCACCATGGTGCGCCATCCACAATGAATAACATGGTCCGTGCTTTTCTTAACTACTTATTTTGCAAACATAATTTACTAGGTTGTAGTTCCATGAATGAATAAAACCACTTTATAAGACATCAAACATGAAGATCCAACTCAATTTGATTATAGATGGATTAGAATGATAACTGTAAGCTTCAATGATGGCATGCAAATTATGTACTTACAGAATTTGGGAACTTTATTTCTGTAGAGATGCTGTATCAATGTTAATTGTCGAGTATTAAGTATTGCTAACAGATATTTGCTGAATGATTTAAACATACTAAATATTGCAGGGCGGTGCTTTATGGTTTCAGAATTTAACTGAATTCTCTAACGGTTATTCAGGGTTCACCTTTCCTTTTCTGATGGCTAGTTTGCACTACATTATTGTTCAGGTAATGGAGTACTGAGTCCGTAACCATGAGGGATTAAATCATCTCTATTTACCTTTTGTTGCTTTACCCCATTTCCATGCATGTGTGGGTTAAAAGCATTCATTTATTTAACATGAAGTAGTCTAATTTAATTCTACTAAATTTTTTTGAATCATAATAATATCAGTGTCTTTTTGGTGACCCTATTATAAAGTTGGATTGTAGTGTTGAGTCTTTAAGAGCCAACTGATATAATACAATAAAAGATATGATTACCGAGCCAAAAAAGCGGGCAAACTTGATGGGCATAAAGGAAATTGATCAATGGCCAGTGATTGCTCAAGTTAGGCAAAAATCCAATACATGCTGTATGCTTACTCCTCTGTTAATGATGAAATAAAATTTTGTTGTTTTTTCCCCCTTTATTAAACAATCTACGTTGCTGTCTCACTAGTAGCTCACATATATAGTATAATAACTAATATTCTATGTGCTTTAAAATAATAATCAGTTTCTAGTTTAATGCATAATAGAGTAAATTTATTGCTTTCTGTTTGGGATGTGCCAATTGCACTTTAAGTTAATTATCTCAAAGTCTCATTGATTTGCTAAGGGCATGGATGAGTCATTCATAGATTGCGTACTGATTTATGTTCTTGGTTTATCAGGTATCCTTTAAGAAACCTTTGGTTGAAGAAACGGAGGACATTTTTGGCTTGTTATCCACTGTGAGTATAACAGTTTTAATGTGTTACTTCATATTGATTTTCCTCGGCAAAAACAAAGTTGATATTAAAGCGGAGGACATTTCTGTATATTAGTATTTTCTGTGATATAAATATCTTTATTTCATTTTACAAATAGTGTTTAAGAGTGTTGTGTATGCTTCTGTTCACTGAATTAAAAGCAGTAATTCACAATTAAATGAGAAATATTTTTGTTATGCAGTACTACAAACGATACTTGGACTTTCTAACACTGCCTATAGCTTTCATTGGCTTTTGTATTCCTCAGGTAATTTTAATCCTTATATATTGTGTTGTTAGGATGCTAGTTGGATAAATGACATCTCTATGATGCTTTCTGAGAATTGACGGTAGTATACCATATACAGTATGATAGATGGTCAGATGGTTACTACTAGATTTCAAAGACTGCATGGTTTTTAAAAACCCAGAATTGACTATACATTTTACAAATAACCTACATTTGGAGCTATCTCATTATGCAAGATATCTATTGGCACTGCTCATTGGGGAATGGGGATGCATGATTGCAGAAGATTAAGGAAACCTATAATATTTTTAAAATAAGCTTCTAGTTCCTTATAATCCATTAGAGTCTATTTTCATTTGTTACTCAATCTGATTAATAAGACAACTTAATACCCTGACTGCAGTAGTTGATATACTAGATAGAGTTAAAATTTCTGCAACATTTCCGTGTAGTGGTACATTCTCCTATTCTGAACTTGCATTGGTAGGTTTCCCTTGTCCATTTGATTGGAACTTGCATCTTATTACAAAAGAATAGGCAAAGTTTCCTAGATTACAATGTTGCTCAGGTTCTGAGAGTGCACCTCCTAATGCCAAAAGGCCCCAACTCTATCAAAATGATAAGCTACCTTCTCTCTCACTCTTTCCTCTTTATTTACAGGTAAAGGTGCCTTATTATTTCTCTTAACCATATTTCTACCTACTAGCTAACTAGCTTTAGGATTACTCATCAATACCTATTAAAAATAAAATGAGTAGCTTGACGCTATATTAGTTTCTCATAATTTTAACAGAAAATTAGTTAGCGATCACGTTACTGCAACATTCCTTTTGCGTATGTGCCCTTTTTTCACTCTAGTTGGCAGTTAGTCTTATGTTATTGAAATTTATTTTTGCAGGGAAGCCAACTCTATTGGATTACTAATAGTTCATTAACACTCGTTCAGGTTAGTAAGAAAACTTTGTGCATTGTAAGCTTTTTCAAGTTTGAACTATGTACAATAAATCTTAAATAAACTTTGCAGCACTTTGCTCTTAGAAATCCCACTATCCTTGCAAAATTGGGTTTACTTGACAAGAATCGTCGAAAAGCAGCTTCCGGGGAAATTGGTGCTTCTGAAACACCCCATTTACTAGACAATAGTACGGTAGCAGCTACCAAGGAAAATGTTTCTCCCGAAAAGAACCCTCTGGATTCACCTGAAAAGTGGCAGAAAATACCTATAGAGAACATGTCCCCTGTAGAACTAACCACTGTGAGTGAACAAGAACATGAACATGCATCACGTGTGATATATTATTAAAACCTTATTGGCTCCAAGAATCTGTCACCAATTAATGGGTTGGTTTTGTTTACAGCTCGCAGTCCCATTTCTATCTAGTAATGATAAAGAAAGTGCAATACCTTTACTAAAGTAAGTTATCCTTTCTAGTTACTAAAGTGAGTATCCTTTTTAATTTCTTCAGTGGGAGAAGAATTAATAGAAAAGGAAATTCCTGGTGTTATTGTAATTTTTAGCCTTATCTAGGATTGACGGCAAAATGCTTTATTAACTCCCATATACAGACTAGCACTTGATAAGGACCCTGAATACTTGCGAGCTTTGGTTTTAATGGGACGGGTTCTCTTGTTGAAGCAAATAAATGATGAAGCTGTTGAATACTTTGAGCGTGCAATATCAAAGGTGTGAATTCATATATGCCCCCGTTTTCTTTTTAACTTGATATTCTGTTTTTATTTACTATGTTTGGTCTGTTATTTGTTCCTTTGAACTATATACCAATGAATTGCTATTTTTCATTTTTACTTGGACTAGAATTTTGTCTCATTTCACTTCATTTGCACTGTTAATGCCTAATTGTTTACCGGTTTTCGTTAGCTTTCACTGGCTGGCCTACCAACTGATCCAGAAGAGGTTGATTTTTTGATTCTTTCATCTCAATGGGCTGGAATTGCCTGTGAACGACAGGTGAAATGCTTACTTCAATTTTTATTTATTTTTATCAAATTTCTGTCTGTAAAAGTATTTTGATATAATATTTTGACACCTCTCACAAATTAAGACACAATTGTTATTCGGATATGATATATCTTCCAACTAAAGAATATATGTTACGATCACAAGTATTTTTTATTAATTAAAATTGTGATCATATGTTGGCCAATGACTATTGATGTATGTATGTATTAATTAGCAATTAGCAATGTTAAGGTCTCTTCACGAACATTATGCTTCTAGTTCTTTCTCATGATTGACTTTGATTTTCATTTTTCTTCAATTATCTGTATGGCAGGGAAAGAAGGAAGAAGGACGTGTACACTTTGAAAGAGTGGCGAATATGGAAGAGCCCGAAGATCCTACTAGTAAAGGCTATTATTTTGATGGGTTGCTGCTGCTTGCCAGGTACAGCTTGGTTAAATACCTTAATTAGTGTTAGAATTTTCATTTTCTTATTACCATTTTGCTAATAAGATTGGATTTGATTTCTTGTGTTTACAGCACTTTATATGATGCTGGTCAAAAGGCTGAAGCTGCAAAGTATCTGCGTCTTGTTGTTGCTTATAATCCTGGTTATAAGAAATTCTTGGAACAATGTGAGAAACATGAAGATTTAGCAACTGATCTTGCCCGTAGTAGGAGAGAATTCTGAGTTATTATATTTATTTTACTTGTCCATATTTTGTGTTGTATATCTAATCATAAGTGATGGTATCATTTGATTCTCCACCGTTTAAAAAGAGATGAGTGCTTGTAGCACACCATCACACATTTTAATTGATTAAAATTTAGGTGAACAGTATTCTTGAATTTAATAGGGTATCGATACCTCGTCCAATCAAATAAGGTTATTCATTGTCATGTTATCTTTTAAGTTATTTTATTTTAAAATAAATTAAAATTTTTAATTAATTTGTATTAAAAATACCGATATCAAATTACTTATATGAATATCTAAGAATTTGTGTAAAATTTATATAAAACTGTTATTGATTTTAACCAATAAAAAATAGACTCGAGTTGTGTTTATAAGGTTATTCTTATCAAGACATGTCTCATTAAGAAACCAAACCGATGCAAATTATGTTTAATTTATATAAAACCGATGCGAATTATGTTTAATTTATATAAAATATTTTCTACTTTATTTTTTAAATTTGTTATTTTTTTTCTATCAAGCGTGAGGATAACTATGTATTTTTGTAAAATATTGTCAATAACAAAAATAAATTTTCTTTGTTTAGAAATAAATTTTCTATATGTAATAATACACATCATCCCTTACTCTCTACTCCTGTCCTACTAAGTCACTTTGCACATATACTTATGTGCGTAAAAAAATTGTTGTCTTTTATTTCTTATCCTCATGCTGGTTTATATAGTTGGAATAATGTAAATTATATTAATTTTCTCGTTAGTAAAGAATAAAGGAAAATAAAAAAGAATAAATAGAAATAATAAAATAGGAAAATAAAATATTTTTGAACACTTTCTTGTGAATATATATCTATCAATACCCAATTAGTGCATAGATATCTATCACGCCCAACTTGTCTATCAAATGCTTAAAGATAGGTCTTGTTAAACTTTTGGTCACGATATCCACAGTTTGCTGACTTGAAGTCACAAAAGGTAAATATATGATTCCAACATCTAACTTCTCTTTTATGAAGTGTCAATTAATCTCAATATGTTTGGTTCTATCATATCGAAGTGAATTATGAGCTATGTTAATGTCATATTTACTATTAGAGTATAATTTCAATGGAATTTCAATTTTTCATCTTAAGTTTTTCCAAGACTATAAGGATCCACAATCCTTCACAAATACCTTGAGACATAACTTTAAATCGACTTTTGCACTACTTCTTACTACAACTCCTTGTTTCTTGTTCCTCCATGTCACAAGATTACCTCAAATATAGGTACAATATCTTGAGGTTGATCTTTTATCTGTGACTGAACCTGCCTAATCAGCATCGATGAATATATGCACATTTCTTTCACCGGTCTTCTTAAAAAAATAAGCCTTTTCAAAGATTTCCCTTCAAATATCTCAGTATCTTATTGACAACCTCAAGATATTCATCAAAAGGAGAATGCATAAACTGACTTACTACACTAATTGAAAAAGAAATATTAAGTCGGGTGTGTGATAAATAAATCAATTTTCCAACCAATTTCTGATATCTTCCAGTATCAACAGGAACATTACTTTCTCCCCAAAGTTTAACATTAGGATCCATAGGAGTATCTGCAGGACGACATCTACTCATTCTTGTTACTTTCCATAAGTCTAGAATGTATTTCTGCTGTGAAATCACAATACTATTTTTTGATCGAGCAACATCCATACCAAGAAAATATCTCATGAATCCCAAGTTCTTGATTTCAAAGCCTATTGCCAATTTTTCTTTTAATCTTGTCATTTTCATTGTATCATATCCACTAATGATAATATCATTAACATAAATAATCAGGGAAGCAACTTTCACATTGTGGGAGAACTTTGTGAATAAGGTGTGGTCATCCTGGATTTGAATGTACCCTTACTTCTGTTAGAAAATTTAATTTAAATCAAATGGTTCAAGACTAGAATCGTGAACGAAATCACTTTTCTTATAAGTATTTCAAGCACTCTTCAATATGTCTTAGAATTGGAACATAGAAATACCTAAGATAATTCAGCCTTTTATCGAGTTTGTGCAAGACTGACGAAAACTCGGATGTAACAAAGAGTGTCTGTAATTTTTGGTGAAGAGGATATACATTTTTGTAATATAATTTTCTAAATCCGGAATGTTCAATTTATAAGTCAAACTGACGTTGTTTCATAAGGTTGCGACCATTAGTGACTTTCAACAACACTTTTGCTAAGGAGGCATTTGTTTCACGGTGTCAAAATTTATTCCTTGGTATTCTTTTGAAAAATTATTTGACAAATATTTTATTATTCTCAGAAATATTTGTAATTTTTGTTAATTTATTTTTAAAAGTATATAAAATTTTATGGGAATCAACTTTTCCACCATTTAACATGAGAATAATTCCATGAAATTAAGAGAAGTTATTTTGTTCCTTGGAATGTTTATACCCAAGAATAATTTTTTTCAATCTTGTAACAAACATGGATATCTTCACTTTTTATCCATGTATTCCCAGGAATGTGATTTCTAAACTTGAAACAAACACACCCTAAGTGCTGCACTGTTTTGCCTATAACAATATTTTCAAATATTGCACTATTTCGCCTACAACAATAATTTTCAAAAGTTGCATTATTTCCATTTTGCAACACTTTACAAAGTGTTGTCTATTTTCAAAATTCAAAAATATAAACTGCCTACTGCAACACTTCACGAAATGTTTTCTATTTTCAAATTCAAAATACAAACTTCTCATACATATTTTCTTGTCATTTTGGAATACACCCATGGTAATTAAATATTATTAATTATTAATAATTTACAACAATCTCCCACTTGTTCTAATAATAAAAAGATCAATTCTAGAAAAGAGAAACAAAAAATATTAATATAGTTAAGTATCTTTCGATTTTAAACTTAAGCTTACTAAGGACAACGCAAAGTCTAATCAAAATATTAGGTAGTAATACTTTTAAACCATTAATCCATGTGATTAAATATGATTCGATCTTTTTGTTCCATGCCCTAGGTACTTGTTTGAGGCCATATAGTGCTTTGTGCAACTTATACACCTTACTCCCTTCCTTCTGAATCACAAATCCATGAGGTTGTTAGACATAAACCTCTTCATCTAAGGGACCATTCAGAAATGCTAAGTTCACATCTAAGTGAAATATCGACCAACCTTGCTTACATGCCAAGGATACCACTAGTCGAACAGTCCCCAATCTTTCTAGTAGAGTAAATACTTTAGAGTAGTCAAGTCCTACCCTCTAAATAAATCCTCGAACTACCAATCTCGCCTTATATCTTGCTATCTACCCATCAACATTATGTTTCAATTCGAACACCCACTTACTTCACTTTGATAACTTTTGTGTGTGCTGGCAATTTGACAAACTTTATTCTTTAAACCCTCGTTATAGTTGATTAGTTCAGCACCTGCAAGTAAAGCAAAATGAATTAATTCTCTATCTGGTGTTACTCCATCATCACCGGTCACTTCATAGTCTTGAAGTCTTTTTGGATGAATTCTAGTTCTTTGAGGTATTTAGCTTGTGCTAGCCACACCCTCTTCGAATTCGACAATGTTGGGAATGTCGGTAACTACTTCGACTTCGACTAGAATATCAATAATTTCTTTGACTTCGACTTCATCAATTTATTCGTCGAATCCATAGATCATCAATGGCTTGTTAATTGCATCATCAAAATTCCAATCCCAGGAATAATTCTCATCAATCACAATGTCTCGACTTATCACAATCTTATCATTAATTAGATTGAATAGCCTATATGCACCAGTTTTATGATATCCTACCAAAACCATAAGTTCACTCTTGTCATCAAGCTTCCTTCTTCTTGCATCAAGAACATACTTGTAACACATAAACATCTTCAGATGACTCATTGATGGTCGTTTTCCACTCGACACTTCTTCAGGAATATTGTTCTTCAATTTCTGGATAGAGCACCTGTTTAAAATATAAACACCAATGGAAACAACTTCACCCCATAAGAATTTTGGCAAATTCTTTTGCTTAAGCATGGATCTCGCCATATTAAATATGGTTTTATTTCTTCTTTCTTCAATTCCATTATGTTGAGGCGTATAAAGAGCAGTTACCTCATGATCGACACCATGTTCTGCATAGAACTCCTAAAACATTTTGGACGTATGTTCGCCACCTCCATTTGTTCGCTGAACTTTTAACTTCTTTCCACTATAGTTTTCGACAAGTATTTTGAATCTCTTAAAGATTTCGAATACTCCAGCCTTTCGTTTGATCAGATAGATCTAGAGTTTTAGACTATACTCATAGACAAATTAGACAAAATACTTGTTTCCACTAATGTTATACTCCTCAAAGGGCCACATACATCTGAATGTACAACTTCAAGTATGTAGGAAGATTTTGTTGGCGTAGTCGAAATGAAAGAATTTCTAGATTGCTTCTCTACTAAGCAACCTTCAAAGAGTTTGTCGGACATCACAATACTTGATATATATATCACATATCTTGAGTGATCAATTGATTAAGCGACCTGAAGTTCAGATGGACAAAGCTCAAATGCCACAACCAACTATTCTTATGGTCAAAAAACATTTCCAGACATTGTACCTCAGTTTATCTGATCATGGTCTTAAATGTTTTATTCTTTGATAACGATGATTTTAAGACCAAATTGTTCTGGGTGTTGAACAATTCTAAATCTCCATCTTTCATGACGACTAAGAAACCTTTTTAGACAAGTTGTCCAACACTTAGTAGATTTTACTTCATTCCAGGTACATAGAGTACATTTTTTATCGTAGCATTCGCTCCACCACTCCTTTGAAAAACTATGTTGCCAGTATCTTTTGCTTGCAACAAACTATTATCTGCGAGTTTTACATTTCTCTTCTTCAACTCGTCGAAATCTGCTAACCATATTTTTCGACCAATCATGTGATTCGAGTAGCCTGAGCCGAGGAATCAGATCTTAGATTCGACATGGTTATCTG